TTCGCAATCAGAATAAATGAACCGCGCCGCACTTCGGTTTTGAAGGGAGCGCGAAGGCTCAGGAAAAAGTACAGGGCGGTATACATGGGAATGTTGGACCGTCCCGGGCCGGGCTCTGGGCTCTGCCCTACCGAACGCCAGGGCGCCGGCGGGGCGCCGCGGCAGGGCGGGCGGACCCGTGCGGCTGCATCCCATCCCACACACACACACGGCCTGCAGCAGAGGAAACAGGTTCTTTGGTGCAGCGGCCGCGCCCGGCCCGGCCCGGCCCGCCTAGCCTAGCGCCCCAGTGCAATGGCCCTGTGCACGAGACACACGGCTGACACCGCCCAGAGGATGACCCCAAATAGCGCGCGCCTCTAAACGGTGCTTCAACCTGCAAAAACGAAGGCTGCGTGCAAAAAACGTGTGCACCAAACTGCGCCGATTTTGCACATTCAACAAAATGAACCTGTTTTGGGAGGTAGGCGCATAATTTGGAAATGTGGCCAAAGCGGAGGGGCAGGGGCAGGGCCAGGCCGGAGGCCGGTGTCTGCCCGGGCGGGTACAAGTACCACCGGCCGGGTACAGTACAGCCCCACACCGGTTGGGCCAGGTTCAATGACATTTGGCGCGCGCAGCCTCCGCGGGCCGGGCGGCGGACTGTACCAGTTAGCTGCCCCTGCTGATTATAATCCACTGCGACACACGCGCGACACGTGGAAGACCACAAAACTCCAGCCACCACCATCTTGACGCGCCCGGCAAGAGGAGGAAGTGAATCGACAAAACAAAGCAAATACGATCATGGGCTGCCCCCAAAATGCCGAGCTTAAAACTATGGAGATAACGCCCACCAAACAAGAGATCAGATAACCCTCTGCCTTGGCTCCCGGCCTATGGCTCTGGCGGCGGAACAGTCACCGCCGCTACCACGGTCTGCACCACCGCCACCAGTTGGATGCAGTCCTGCAACAGGTTCGCGCGCGCGTGCGTCCGGGAGGGAGACGTTCACTTAAAGAAGAGAAGACGCACCCCCTCCGCTTACCACGAGCTTTACTTACACGGAGGGGCGTCTGTTCCTTGAAATTCACACGAATAATTAAAACAACCCGCATGCAGTCTCTCTGCCTTCACACATGACTCATGTCAGCCGCAACAATACATCAACATGTGCAGCCAGTAAAGAAAATGTTAGAAGTCATACAATTAATTAATTTATAGCTCAGGTCATTAAACATTGAAGTTTTAGAATTAAATGTTTGAAATGTATCATCTGCTTGAAAAGGCTGCAAAGCTAGCTGCTTTAACGTTATACTTAACGTCGTTACTTTGTGTTTGGTCTGGGTGTTTTAAGGTGTCATCTGCTTAATCCACCCTCGCCACCACGCGCTGTACGCGCTGTACGCACGCGCCCAACGCGACTAGAGCCCCGCGAGCAGACGCTCCGTGCGGCTTGTGCGAGGAGGAAGGGCCTTATAAAGAGTTGTTGTCGGCCAGCTGGCCAGCGAGTGGACGGCGCGGCGTGTCTAAGAGGGACGCCGCCGGCGCTTATCTCAGCGCATCCCTCTTGCCAGCAAAATAAAATTGTGCGAAAAATGCAAAGGACTCGCAACGAGACTCAGAGAAAAGTAAAGTCGGAGGTCAACACCGCGTTAAATAAGAAATAACGATTGAATGAAGAAGAGAAAGCGTGCAAGAGAAACGCTAATTGGGTGGCGATGATAGTC